CTCTCTCTCTCTCTCTCTCTCTCTCTCTCTCTCTCTCTCTCTCTCTCTCTCTCTCTCTCTCTCTCTCTCTCTCTCTCTCTCTCTCTTTTTGCACCACATCACCTCCGATGCGGACAGTTCGTCGTCTCGCACCAACACCGGGTCGTCACCCCGCTTAGTCCAAGCACGCACGCCAGGTTTGCCCATGCGCCACAGTACGTCGTGGCCCACTTGTCAACCCCGCTTACTTGGCACCAGCCCGTCGGATCGCCCGACTCACTTCTACTCACCTTCCAACTTGCTCGTTAGCCGATCCTCACTGACCGCGCTAACCTTCCAAATCCAGAGAGAGCGAACCAGTCGCGCTTGGGAAATTTATAGCATGCGTGCTCGTGCGAGAAACCCGGGATCATACCCAAGACAGAAGGAAGGAGGAGAGAAGGAAAGTGCCTACGTTCTGCATGGCCATGCCGCGGCGTGGGGGTCGTAACCACTCTCCACGCATTGATCTGGGCATGCAACGCTTCGGCCTATCAAAACGAGGCAAGATGCATGCACAGCAGGAAGGAAGAAGGCGGGAAGAAAGGTGAGAGAGTCAAAAAGAGAGAGATACAGTTACAGTTGTGCCCGCCAAAAGATATAGTTACACGCAAGATTAAGGGCGCAACTTAGTGAAAGCTCTGCTCCCGTCGCGGCAAGGTGCGCACTAATCAAGAAGCGTAGCGTAGTGAAATTTCAAGATTCCTAAATATCTAAATCCAAATTGCAGAGAAAATTCCGACGAAGCAAAAAGTTCCGAAAAGCAAAAAGGAATTTAACAATTCCGAGAGCCCACATAGGCTCGACATCATTTGAATTTTTTTTTCTGAAAACTCAGAAAAAGAAGACATTCCCGCGCGTTCATCGCGCCAAAAATCTTGTTCCCCTTAGCCCCAACAGAACAAGAAAGAAGCTATGACAACAATTATTTTTTGTGCTCTCTAAGGCGCGGTCTCCCAACTGCCTACGCGGGACTTTTTCCGATATTGGACCGAAAAAATCGAAAAAGAAAATAAAAAAATAAGCGAGGACATCCATACAACTTGCCCAGCCAACTCATCCCCACGTACTTCACCCTATTAACCCGTCCCATACCCGCAAAGCAGTTTCGCGCAAAAAGTCGTGTGATTACGGAAAATGGTTCTTCACACGGTTCCCTGACTTTGGCGGGTAGGTTGCTGCCTGTCGCGAACACATTCCTTTTCCTGGTTTTCCAGTACCCTGGCCCCCTTGAGCCAGGTTTCTTGCCTTCCGTGAAAATGGAATAAATAAATAACCCAAGGGAATAAATAAATAAATAAATAACCCCCCGTTCGACACCCCCACCACGGTCAGCAAGCCCCGAGCAACTAACATCCACCCCCAAACGCATCGGAACATGAACCCCGAACTCTACCCAACCCCCCTATAACACCAGACCTCGCCTTTAAACCAAAATCCTACCCCCTTTACTATCGAACCCAATACACCCCTCCCTTCCTCACCCCCTCTTCACACCAATCTCCTTTTTACAGTGAAGCCTCCTCCTCCTCCCCCTACCTTTTAACAACCCAATGTCGGTGTGGATAACCTTACAAAGATATGCGCCCTTGTTTTTACAAACAACAAGGATAAAATTTGAATTGGAAAGTGGAAATGTTGAATGAGTTGCAACCGCTTTTTTTGGCGGGTGATAGCGCGTGCGACTATTTGAGTGGAAGTAAAGAGTGTGTCCGTATGCACTTTCAAGTGCGTGTTGAATATAGATGTCTTGGGACCGCTGGTGTGCATTGCGAACTCTTAGTAATGACGACTAGAGAAAAATTAAAATTTGATTGGTGTGGTTGT